TAGTTTGGTGTTTATCGTATTTAAGTTTATATTTTCATATTTTATTTGTATGAGTTGTAAGTTATATAAACTCCTGGCTGTGAAAGCAGGTAAGAAGTAACTAAGATCTAGCGTAATCTAGACTAGATCTGGGGAACAATCGAGGTGAAGCCTGATTGCCCATTTGTAATTTTTGGTATTTGTAAATAGACAGGTTGGTCTATTTACCGGCCACTCGTGTTGAGTAACACGTTGTCGGTTGAGGGTGCGTGTGTCGCACAGCGTATTCAGTCGGGTTAAAGTGTAGCCTACACACTTGTACCAAGGATACTAAGTGTATCTTGAGAAAGGGTAGAAGTGGTTATTAGTCTAAGTTGGTAGTTAGACGCCAAGGGTTTTGTTTGTTGGTATAAGAGGTACCATATCGTAGGATAAAGTAACAAATAAGGAATATGGCAACTACTTCAGGTTACGACCTAGAAGAATTTAGAAAAAAACTAATTCAGGAAGCCAAGACAGAATTGGAACTGCGAGGCAAAGAACTAACGGCCTATGTGCAGCAGATGGTGGCGGCGGAAGCAGAACGCTTGGAGAGAGAGAAAGCTAGAGGCAGAGAAAAGGAAAAAGAGGAAGCAGAGCGCTTGGAGAAGGAGAGAATTAGAGAAGCAGAACGCCTAGAGAGAGAGAAGGTTAGAGAAGCGGAAAGAGCCAGAGAAAAAGAAAAAGAAGAGGCAGACCGTGTAGAACGGGAAAAAGTCAGAGAAGCGGAACGCATCGAGAGGGAGAAGAAAGAAGAGGCGGACAGAAAAGTGAGAATTCAAGTTGAGCAGATGAGGATAGAGGCTGGTGTAAGTGTGCCCATTGAAGGGAACAGCAACAATAGCGCCAATATAGAAAGCCATGGTAGCGCCGCATGGATGAAAAAGAAAATACAACCTTTTGCGGAAGACAAGGACGACATCGGCGACTATCTGAAACGCTTTGAAATTAAACTAGCAAAGTTTAATGTCCAAGAGAGGGAGTGGTCCGAAATCTTGTTGGACTTCGTACATGGGAAAGCCCTCACGATTTGCCAGAACCACGACCACTCGATGCAAAACAGCTATCAGGTGCTAAAGAAGGAACTGCTAAACGCATACGGGCACAACGCGGCAACATTCCGAAAGAAGTATTACGAAAACACTCCATCCAGCCAAGTTGATCCACAAACAACTATCAACTCGGAGAAGGACTTCTTCACTAAATGGCTCGGATTCGAGAATGTGGAGAACACCTACGAGGGGTTGAGGAACTTTATTCTGATTGACAATTTCATCAATAAGTGCGACCCTCAGCTACAGTCTTTTATAAAAGAAAGAAACCCTAAGGTAATTGAAGACTTGGTAGAAATTATGAGGATCTTTAAGAATGCGTACCCAAACAACCCACTTTCAGTTAGAGACCACAAAAAAGTTATTGACCTGGTAAATTATGTCAAGGGAAATGATAGCAATGAGAGGGATTATGGTAGAAGGAATGATGTTAGTGATAGGGACACCCATGGTAGGAGAAACGATAGGTCCAGGGAACGTGGGAACAAGAGTCGGGATAGTTATGATGGCATAAAGGATAGATCCTGGGAAAATGAAAACAATGGCAGGGAAAGTTATGATAGGAGAATAGATAGACCTAAAGCGGGTGATAGAAACCTTAGGGAGGTTACATGTTTTAACTGTCAGGAAAAGGGACACATGACATACCAGTGTAAGAAACATAGGGGGAATAGAGCTGGCAATATGAATACACAGGATAATAGTGGCACTAGGGATAGGAGAGGTAATCAAGGAAACCGTAGACAAGAGAGGCATAATCGGTCACCGGATAGGGTTAATTTTGTAAGGAGCATCCAAGACAGGGATCGTGATAGTAGGGATAGTGAACCAGATGAAGAAATTAACTACGTTGATTGTGGGGAAGATAGGTTTAAATTATATCCGGGCATGATAAATAATAAACAGATAAAGGTGATCCGGGACACAGCTAGCAGTACACTCGCGGTTAGAGGGGGATTAGTTAAGTCCAATGATTATTTAGGCTATACCAAATCAGTCAGATTGGCAGACGGTGCAGTTAAGAGGTTCGAAGCGTGCAAAGTGTTCCTTCGATCTCCATTGTATACAGGGTATTGTGAAGGGGTAGCCATGCCGAGGTTATCTAGAGATGTTTTACTTGGAAATGTAGCAGGTGTCAGAGCCGCTTCTGATAAACAGGTTAGAAGTTGGAAAAGCAGATATGGCAACAGGAGGCGAGACAAACCTAGAAAGGACAGAATTTGTTTTAACTGCCATAAACAGGGGCACATCGCTAAAGACTGTTGGAGTAGGGCAGAACAGTCTGAACAGAAGATTGCGAGTTCGGATAGGAGGCACAGGTCTATATCCGATGACGGTGGTAGCGGTAATCGCAAGGCATACCAAGGTAGAAGGCCGCAAGCGGGCTATAGTGATGTAAGAAGAGATGTAAACTCCAGTTGGAGAGAACAAATGTATGGGTCGTGTAGATAGCCTGTGAAACATAACACTATACAACCGTAGTGTGTAAATAAGTTGATTGGTTTGATATTTGAAGTGTTTATTCTTAATTAATTGACTTACCTAGTAGGCATAGCTAGGCAGTTATTATGTTGTTGTAGTATTAGTTAGTATTAGATTGACTCATGTTAGTTATTTATTATGTATGAATATGTATGAATTGTATGTATGGAGGTATGAATAGATAGGGCATTTATAAGGCGACGAGGTATTGATACCAAGGGAAAGTAAGTTTTATAAGTTATTTCTTGTTGTGGATCATGATCATACATCAGTAAAGAGTAAGGTCGCGCTGGGACAAGTAAGTGGAGAGAGGAAATAAAATACACTTGTAAATGCCCGAACGAACGTTAGGTGTATAGTGGGAGAACGATTATTGATAAATGTTAATTTGTCATATTAGGTAAAATGTCTGTCCTGACGTGTGAGGGAAAGTGGTGGAACCTCTGGAATGTGATGTGATAAAGTATGGATATACGGACTATGTCGGCGGTCACCTATGGCACATCACATTGGACAGTAGCACTTGGTGACAGTTGAGGGAAATATGTGTTCAGATCAACTTGAGTTTGGGACAATGATGAAGAAGTTGAAACCGAAATCAAGACTCAAGTTGTGTTGTCTTTTATGTTTCCCTACATTTTGGCCCTTGCACAATGTAAGACTAAGACAGTAGATAAAAAATTGACTGGCAATTTTTTTTAGCGGGAGGGGGAGGAGTTGTTATGACATGATTAGGAATTAGTTATTTGTTTCGGGAATAAGGGTAAAGTTTTACTTAGCGACAAATGACGTGACAGATCTTTAAAAAACAAGAACGCTCTTAGTGACGCTAGAAAGAGGATGATTTGTGTAGAGCAGTAGAATAGAGATACGAATGTACGGACATAGCTGACATCGGACGATTCCCTTCTTAGTTATTAAATGTATTTGTAAACAGCATCAGCGTCGACTACCTATTTTGATTGTTTCGGCTTTTCGCCGGTGTTACTGAAGTCGTTTTGAGTTCGATAGTACCTCCAGCCAGACGTAGATCTACACTAGATCTTACACTAGAGATATCTACAAGCATCACCACCGCGCGGAGGCCTGAACAATTCACATAAATGAACAAAAGGTGGAACAAGAAAGTATTTAACATTGTGGGTGTTTAAATTGCTAAATTTCAAACCATAATTTACAAATATATAAACACAATAAAAATACTCAAAAAGTCAAAAAGATATGGACGCATTTCTTATTCCATATGGTTGTGGTAGAGTGTTAAAGCCCTTGGCTTCCGAACCGAGGGGTCCCCGGTTCGAATCCTGGTTAAGACAGGAATTTTTAATTTTGGGGTTTTTAGAGATCCTCTGAGTCCAGGCTCAGATAGGTAATAGGTACCTGGCATTAGTTGGGGAAAATGGAAGGAGTTTGGTCGTTGTGCCGTCACGTGACAACCTCGTTAACAAATGACCTTTACATCATCTATAGATCGCAAGGTCTGAAAAGGGGAACATTTACTTTTACTATGTTTGAACAAATTTGAGCAACCGTTGATTCTTCCCTATATAGCAGTTAGAATCAGCCAATGAATTAGGAAAAAAAAATCTCCAACATACACACGGCATGATTAGCACATAGACTGTAGATACTTGTGGGACGTAATTATCATGTGTTTTAGAAGGAAGGTCTTCTGTAGTTTATAAGATAAGATAATCATTTATAACTAGCTAATAAAAGTATATTAAAATAGCCACAGAAAAAGTTTTCTTTCCATGTTAAAGAAAATGAGCTACGAATATAAAGACTTATTGACCTTTGCAACTAATTTTGTCGTCTGCAATGACGTAACCTTTTTTGCAGGCGCAAGTAAAACTTCCGGCATTGTTTTCACACAGTTGTTGACATCCGCCATTATTCGTTTGGCACTCATCCAAATCTACAATAAGAAAATAAATGCACAGTCACAAATGAGCTTATATATGTCATAGCTATATAAGGTAGCATGATGTAAGTTTTTTTGTTGTTAGAACTCTCGAACTAAAGAAAGTTAAGTAACTTTCAGCTCTGACTACTTGACAGGGATTTTGATGGAGAAAAAAAAAGATCCATTTTCTAGTAAAAATATGCAAAGAAAGTTGGACCAGTTTTGTAATTGAAATCAAACATTATCGTTATTCCAAGTAATTGAGACTAGCTTACCGTAGTTCATACGGTAATAGAATTTTAGAATTTTTATTTTATAACAAGTAACGCAGAACAAGAAAAACACAAGAAAATATATACATTTTTAAAAGACAATACAATAGCAGTACTTCTTCAGAAAAGAAGTTTGGTGAAATAATGCACATGCATAATAAAAATAATTATAAATGTACAACATTCAGCTGTATTAAAACTTTGAAAGGTATGAGTCCAGATTTATAAAAATGAGAAAACTATTTTTTTTTTAAATCCAATGATTAAACGAGGTTCTGGCGAGGTTTGAACTTCTGCGTGTAAAGCAGACGTGATAACCGCTACACCACAGAACCATTCAACAGAATCAAATAAATGCCGAACATGTCTTAAGATATGGAAGTGTGAATTGTAGTATTTTTTGTATTTCTGATATTGCTGCGACCTATATATTCTTTATTATCATAAGTTTAAAAAAGGCAATTATCTTCAACCGCACTTCTGATTTGATTCCTTTTTCTTTTAATTTAATGGAATTAGGACAATCACCATTTGTTGTAGATCATCATCATCATCTTTATCATCTATCACTTAGTCTGTTGGACCATTGGAGCGCCAAGCAGGAATATCGAATATCTTTCTCCATTCTTCCCTGTCTTTTGTTTTGTTTCAAACCTCTTTCAATGGCAGGCCCGTCCATTCTACTACGTTGTCCCTCCCATCGCTTTCTCTGTCTGCCTCTTCTTCTTTTTCCTGGTGCTGTTCCCTGAAGGAAGGTCTTTGCGAGATACAATTTCTTAACGTGCCAGAGCCCAACACAAATCCCTAATTAGATTGAACATGTATTTTATCGAAACCTATGTTTACTTGAGCGCTACAGACTTCTAACGATCAAGACGCAGTCAAATATGAAGTAAGAACAAGAAGAGAAGTTAATGTCGGTGAGTGAAGTGGGGGGGGGGGGGAAGGAGGAGGAGCTGGAACCAATGCAAGTCTTTTCTTTCCGTAACGCTGACTCCATATTACAGCCTTACCCAGAAGGCTTACTATCAGAACTTTTTAACGTAATTAATATGAACGGGCCGACCCGCGGCGTAGCGTACGCCCCCTCCCCTCGCTCTCTGTCACCGCAGAAGTTACGTGGGGACTTGTAGAGATTTAAGAGTTATCTTTCAAAGACATTTTTAAAATCGTGGTGTCCCGCATGGTTGGGCCAGGAAGGGAATTATATAAATAGATAGATAAGCTAACAACAACAACGCTTTTCATATATTGTTGACGGTCGTTGACTTGTAGCACCATATTGCTGGTAGACAACTAAACCGCTGTAGAGCGTAGGCGTATCAAATTTAAACCGTTGAATAACTTCTATGTGAGCAAAACTAAAGATAACTTTTATTACAATATAGACAAATGTAGTTTGAGATGAAATGAAATAAACTGATATTGAAACAAATCTATCTCCCAATAAAAACACCGTCATTACACTCTGGCTTCCTGGACTCAACTGTCTTACTATACACAGCTTACGACAGTGCCGCATATCTTACATCATTCTACAACAAGAGTAACATTAACTAGCAATAAATACTTTCCTTTCCATATCACCTAGGTAACACGCACACACACCTGGTCTGTATTGTAACTTCCAAATATGTTACTGCTTAATTAACTGCATACTTCCCTCAGCTGAGAATTTATGACTAATACTACTTATAGCTAGACTACACTAACCATTGAGTAGAATAAAGTCCGCGGAAGAGTAGGCCTATATAGTGGATATCGAATCCTTGCTGAGTAATTGATGACACCCTTACCTTCACAAAAGCTGTTATTTCTTGTCTGTCTGTAACCATGGTTACACGTACATGTGTAAGAGCCCTCTGTGTTGAGGCAGACTCCATTGGAGCAGACTTTTCCTTTGTACCGGAGACATTCGTCTACATCTACGAACAAAAACAAAAATGATACCCGAGAAGCGGTTCTCAAAATGGGGTTTATGGTGACCAGAAGACCATGGATCTGAAGACTCATCAGAGTCATCGGGGCCAATGGATAATTAATCATCATGGTCTTCGTGACTTCAAAAAGCCATTACGATTGTACAATATTTAATATTCAGATTTAACATTGTTACGGATCTCACTATCCGGGCTCTCTGCAAACTGTACCAAACGACACCACCAACGTAAAGTACTTGACAACTCGGGGCTTCAAAATAACGTAAAAGTTGTAATAGTTGAATAAATAACAGCCAACACTGTACAATTGGCAGCACGTAACACAAGACTGTACAAATATCTCTCCGCCGTATCTCTTGCACTGGTCTCTCTGTCTCGTCTCGGACTTGTACTGAGCCGTTGTAACAAACTGTAGATCGGGAAGCTGTGACTGACTCTTGTCGTGAACCTCCTTTCGTGAACCTCTTTTCTCCACCCCCTTGACTGCGACACCTCCGCTCTTATATAGGGTCCCTACAGGCCTTCTCGAACCGGACAGAACGCCGCTCGACGTTTCTAGGTGGTCAGATGACTACAACTCTCGTGACGCTCCTGAGCTCAGTTCACGACGGCGATCCTTCCCGAACCGTCCTGTTGACACTCGACTCGGCTGACCGTCGTAGCTCGTCACGGTTGACCGCTCGTCTAGCGCTGGCCTGGGGCGATTTGCGTCAGCTGGCTACACACACACCACCACCCCCATCTTTGTGCAACCACCAGGTTTATTACAATATTAAGCCTTTTTATCTTCGATAGAGCTCAAAATAAGGCTTATTAACAGCCTAATGTTCTTTATTACCAAAAAGCCTACTTATAATCAAAGACATTGTCATTTCTTATAATGTTTTCTTTACAAAACGCAACATATAGCCACCCAACTAGAAAAAGGCCTAGAATATTGCGATCTTAGGATTAGATTAGAAAACGTGGTATCTGAAGAATAATAAATTTGTATAGTAAATATTTCTTTTGTTAAATAATTTTTATATAAGGCGAATTCTGTTACTATTACTATGAATTTAGCTAGAAATAGATTTAACTTGTACTTATTTAAAATTATTTTCGAAGAAATTTTAAACTTTTTTTTTTCTTTTTTACAGTTTGGAATTATCATGAGTGATTAAAAAAAATATCAATAATAGGTCCGATAACTTCTCATACCTACACAGCTGTGACCATCATCTCCGAGTTTTCTCCCTTTGGTCTCACACCGACACTCGTAGGTTCCCCTCTTGTTGACGCACACGTCATCACAGCCGCCATTATGATCAGCGCATTCGTCAGCGTCTGGGGAGGAGAAAGGAAGGCGGAGGTTTAGTCAGAGAGTTGGGAGTTCTGAGATAAACCTTAGATCAATAATTAATTCAATCAGGTCATTGTAATCGCCCTAAGGGGAAACCCCCTTTGAAAAACCGATGTAGAAAGTGTGTCATCCGAGTGACACCAAGAGATAAATGGCAAACAAAGTTTGGACCTGAAGTCTTACATGCTTCAAACATTTTAGATTTGGGTTTTACTTAGGAGAACAAAACTGCGGAGCTGATGATAAAATACTAATTCAGATCAGTAACAGTTAGGTTTGCTTTTTCCAATCTTCAAGCAATCTGGCGCTCCAAGGCAATGTCTCTACATAAGATACGAATCTATAATACAAACGTTATGTCGGTCCTTCTATAGTCTATACCAGCGGTTCTCAACCTTTTAAGCTCGGCGACCCCTTTTTACAATCCCCCACTCTGCCGCGAACCCCCCCCCCCCCCATAACATACACAGCAATAGAAGAATACACTAAATACCCCTGACAAATCGTCAATCGACCCCTCAAGGGGTCGCGACCCACCGGTTGAGAACCCCTGGTCTATACAGTTTAGAGAAATGGAGTCACTAAAATAAACAGGGTCACTGCTTATGTGGAATATTCAGACAGTACTTGGGGTGATGACTTCCCTGTCTACTCTTGTCTTTTGAGAGAAAAATGCTGCTCAGTGGTCTAATAGGTGGGCATACACGATAGCGCACCGACTCCCTAATGAAATCTTTAAGCATACAGGGACATGCGCAAAGGAAAGAAACAAACAACCTTTTTCTTGAGCCTATTTCTTTTGGGTAACTTTGAATGTACGTACATTTCTATGTTTATAAAGTAAGGTTAATAAAAACTTGTTATCTTTCTATCTTCTGTTTCTTTGTGAGTCTTTATGTTTACACCAGAAGATGTAAAGTATTGATTGACTGATTGATTAATTAGGTGCAATGACAGTAAACAGCAGATTAAACAAGCTAAGTAAACAAATATTTTGTAAAACAAAGCTTATATAAGAAGAAGAAAAACCAAGTCAATGCAGTATGTCTCAATACTGAAGGATTAAACTCCCTTTTTCTATATTGTTACGTTCTCTCCTAATCAGGCCTTCTGTAAACACTGCTAAACACAACATAACACATCTAACACATGAACTTGACAACAAGGGCTTCAAGTAATAATGTGGCGGTTTAATGACAAATACATGAAAAGCCAATACAACACAAATGCTACGTCAAATGCTTTAACACAATAGAACTGCCTACTCAACACTACAAGTCTTTCTCTGTCTACTTCTAGACTCGTACAGCTACATTTTCAAGGACTCACTTTGTAGCACACTGTCCTTACTGCCTTGCGTCCTGGACTCTACTGTCCTTTCTAACACTCAGTCTCTCGTCTGTAAAGGCTTTTAGGTCACATGACCATAACATTGGTCATATTGCGTGCATTAGCAGTAATGTCCATTGTTCAACAGCCCTTGACCTGTGTGATTGGCCTGAATCATGTGTGTCAGTAGGCCGCACACACATTAACCCTTTCAGTCCGCCACTATGGTTATATCAACATTTAACAAAATTAATTAACACTAATTAATTATCTAATAAGTTAATGTTTTATTGATTCATGTATTGCCATAGACTATATGAATAATTGTGCAACCTTTCAACTTAATCCTAGACGAAATTTGTATTTCCCTTTTCGCCAAACAAATTAATTAATTACCAATAATTAATTAATTTAATTGTTTAATTTTTTTATTGATTCATGTTTGGCGAGGCACACCAAATAGTTATTCAAAGTTTCAACTTAATCCGAGAATGGGTGTGGGAGAAATAACGCATTGACAAAGAGTTGATATAACCTTTAAAAAATCCGACGGATAAGAGAATATATATATATATAAAAAAAGAAAAGAAGTAGGTGATAAGTCGATGTCTTATTCCTTGAGTCTGGGGTAAAAGTCTTCACTTTGGTCAACAGTCATTTTAAAGGGTTTCGGTTTCCCTCTTTGAAAAGCCGGTTATGCAAAGGTATCAGCAGGGCGTAGGCT